CCTTTTTGCTGATATTGATAGCCAGCTTCAGTTTATTCCTGTGTCTATTGTAGGTTTCCATGTTTTCCTGAGCTGGGCGTCGTCGTTCCATCAATATTCGGGCTTCTTGTGGTTAGGGTTAGATCTCTTTTTAGGCATTAAGGCGTTGCATATTTCTTTCACTAATGAGTCGAGACTTAATAACAGCTGAAGATTATAAGGTCTGCGAGTTCTACCAATACAAAACCGTCGCCTGCTCCAGACTTGTGGTACGCGATGTTGCGGTTCCTCAGTCTCAGAGCGGCGTTTTTCTCGTGTCTATGTGCCAGGTCGTGTTGTTCACTGAATTGAGGTTCGGCTCTGAAATAATTACTATATCTGCGTCGAATTGGTTCGCTGTTACTGTTAGGAGGTCGTGGGCTGCACGGCATCTGTTCGCATTTAGTTGGAGCATCTTCACCGTTCCGAGACTGGTGGAGTTGTTCTTTCGCATGGTGTGCGTCATTTTTAATTGGTAATAACATCGTCAGTGTCCGCTCCCTCGCCATCTTCGTAAGTATACCGGGTGACAATGAAACTACTACCCATGGCGGCATTTGTTAACGGCTCGAGATAGAAATATGCAATTCGGGTTATTAATAGGGTTGAAAACTGTTAACAATTTTAATATAAAACCAATTGAATGTCTTTTCCGGTTTCACCAGAAATGGCCTTGAATTTGTTATTTCAAATGGGACACCCTCTATATTATTATTTTTTTTGACTCTTTGAACAATTCTAAATAACTTTTGTCTAACATATTCCATGTCAAAAATTGATGGTTTTTGAAATCGAGCCATAATATACGTATACGAGTATACGTAATTAAATGAGTGAAAGTAATATTAGTTTTGGCTTTAGATGAGCACTAACAACTTGGAAATGGGTTATCAAATTTTTAATTCTGCAGGTTTTTAGGTATTAAGGTTGAATCTGTCATATTTGGATAAAGCATAAAAAAGTAGGATTGGGTAGTGGAAGTTTCATTTCCATAAGTTGAACCATTTTCGTACAGAGTCCGATCAAAAACCGAAACATTCATTTTCGAAAAACGCGTTTTTCTTAACTTGCATTAATTCTTCTCTTTTATTATTTATCGGATATCTCTTTTAATAAGGAGCAAATAACCATGATTTTTTTGTTCTGGCATACTCAGTTTTTACATAAAATACAAACAAATAGGAATTACGAAATATTTTTGAGCCCCTCTATTTCAAAAACTATCAATTTTTGACATAAGGGTATGTTAGACAAAAGTTATTTAGAATTGTTCAGAGATTCCAAAAAAAAGATAATATACAGGGTGTCCCATTTAAAATAACAAAGTCAATACCATTTCTGGTGAAACCGGAAAAATCATTTATTTAGTTGTTTTTATATTAAAATTGTTCAAAATTTTCAACTCTATCGACATACGAAATTGCATATTTCTATCTCGAGCCATTAAGAAATGCCGCCGTGGGTATAGTAGTTTCATTGTCACCCGGTATAAGGAAGATCTGTGGTTGGCCCCAACGCTGGTTTTTCTGGCTTGGGGCTTGGCGGAAGTCGTTGCATCTTCCTGTGCCTACTTTGTGGCCATTTTCGTTACAGATGGGGCACATTTCTTCCTTTGTGCACGTTCTTACTGAGTGGCCTCCTTCGTCGCACCTGTAGCAGACAGAGGTCTTTCCTGTCTTGGCCTTTATATTGGTCTGCTTGATGGTCATAAGCCCAGCATCTATCTAGAGCACCTTGTAAGAGATATTCTTTCCTCGATGTGGCATCTTGACAGGCCGATGCGGATATATACGCCTGTTCTTTAAAAGTTCGTCCGTCTTTGTTTTTTCCATCTGGATGGTGATTGCTTGAGTGTTTCCCGCATTTGGCCTCAGAGTTCCCGTTTTGATGTCGCTACCTGCTACGCTACCCACTTTTTCTTCAATAGCTCTGAAATGACGTCTTCTCTGGTGGTCGTCGCACCCATACTTCTTATGTATATCGTCTCGAGTTTCGCGCCCCCGCTCATTCTTAACATGGACTCCTTCTGTGGTCTCTGCTATCGCCTTCTTGACTAGCTTTGCCGCGCGTCTTTGTCCATCTTTATTAGGACGTTCTGGTTCTTTGTCATTCTGATTGAGTTAATTGCTTCAAAGGCGAGAGAGCCTTTGATGTTTTACCACCTTTTATAATTACTAGCGGTTCTCAGTTCTTGCAAAAATGAGTACATGTGGACCTTTAATCTTGTATGACCTGTTGATAAATTCCAAACCTTCCAATAAAGAACGCAGGATACATTCATTTTTATCCAAGTGTTGAAAACAAGCTCTGGCACTTTTAGGTGCATAAATATTTTTGCAAATAAAAATATTTACTCTAAATTTAAGTGATAGTTTTCGTACATTATTGGGATTACCACATACTAAACATGTAACGTTGCAAGTAGGATCATTGGCTAATATATAAAATTCTTCGAGAATAATTGAGCATTTGCAATTAATTTATTAATACAGAGGCGACTTGCATCATTTCGTCGGCCCATGACATAACGCCCTATTTCGTTTTTCACGCGTTTTCAGGAGGGCAATTGAAAGAAAACTAATATCTTGACCTGGCAGTTTAATCTCGCTTAGTTCGAAAATTTGCATATGAAAAAGAAGTCCTAATCTGGTTTCAGCAACTGATCTGGATTATGTCCTTACGGTGCATTTGGGTGTTAAACTTGTTTAATTTTCAGGTGGATTAGTAGAAATAGCTATCACAAAACCAGTTTGTTTTTAAAAATAATATCAGTTAGGTTAACCCAGTGTCGATCTAAACTCTAATGCTTTACATAGGAAACCATGAACAAATTAAAGACAAGCTGAAAGGAAAGGTTCGTTTTTCGAGGGTTCATACTTTTGTTATCGAACATGTCATAACTTGAAAAAAAAGGGTTGTCGTAGATTAATAATTCATATCACAGACTTCTGGCTTAAGAACCGACGAACGTTTTTGACGTCATTGATTTGTTTCAGTCAATTTCTATTTGTTAAAAAAGGAAGGCAAATTTTGTCAAAAGTATGAACCCTCCTGAAACAAAGTTTAAAGTCTGTTTTTTTTTTTTAAGATAAAAGTCAAAATGACATTATGTTGGTAATACAATGTAAAATTGTCAATGATTTTAAATTTTTATGTAGAAAAGGCTTGTGTTGCCAACATAGTTACTAAATTTTTGACTTGGGGAATTATCTTAAAAAAAAAAAACAAACTTTGTATATACAGGGTGTTCCGGAATTAATGCACCAAATTTTTATGGCATATTCTACGTCGAAAATAAGCCCTATTTACCTTTATAAACATATGTCCGGAAACGCTTCCTTTCCGAGATACAGGGTGATGAAATTCTAAGAAAAAAACTATTTTTTTAACATAATTCATACCACTTTGAAATTTTGTACACTGGTTTCAAGCAACCAAAGACATTTTCTGATGTGGAATATTTAATAAAAAACTAACCAGTGACGTCACAAAACTAATTTGAAACTTTAGGTCTTTAATGTTTAAGATTTTTATCATAAAAATGGCAATTCCGCCATGCATCAAAATGTTTTTTTATTTTTTTACTTTAAAACAGTGCATCTTCCGGAAAAAAGTGAAGAGATCAAATTTGTTCTAAATTGAATAGGGATTTGAAAAATGATTTTTATTTTAGAAAAAAGCAGTGACGCACCATTTTTTTCTTAAAAAATATTCCTTACAAATCTGGAAGGACGCCACTGGTAATTTTTAAAAAAAATAATTTCACATCAAAAAATGTCTTTTGCTGCTTGGAAGCAGTGTACAAAATTCCAATGAAATATCTAGAGTGGTTTGAAAATTATGATAGAAAAATAGTCTTTTTCTTAGAATTTCAACACCCTGTATCTCGGAAAGGAAGCGTTTCCGGACATATGTTTATAAAGGTAACTGGGGCTTATTTTTGACGTAGAATATGCCATAACAATTTGGTGCATTAATTTCGGAACACCCTGTATAGGTGTGTATTGGGGTTGGGGTCCTTAATAAACCACCATACCCCACTGGTAATCGGCCGTGCCTGTCATTATTAAATAACCCGTAAAAGGGGTGATAATCGGACTTTTTTTGGTTTTTTGGCAATATCTCAAAAACAAATAAACAAAGCTATTTACGAAAAAGTAAGAAGGAAAAAAAATTGTCAAAACCTCTCGTGATATTTGCTTTCACTTCATTGCATTCCCAATCTTCTGGAACTGCTGTCTATCGCTTGTATATTTTCAAAAGAAACAGTTTTGCACTTTTTATGGTAATTTTTTTTCAAGTGTTTGGAAAATTTATGAAACGATAATTCCCAATATGTAATTGTTTCCTCCTGATTCACAGATTGGCGTTACTGGCTCCTACCGATTATAAATATTTTATTTGTATGTTTGTTGCATTTTATGAAAAGTAAATTTAAAGCCTACAATAATTAGATTTAACAGCGCAGGAAATCTAACATAAAAATTTGAAAACCAAGAAAACCCAAAAGCCATAAGCACACGGTTTCCCGTGACATAATAAAGTGTTCTACAAATAGCCGCATGTTTTTCGAGTATCGCCACATGTTCAGCGTCGCGACGCATTCTCCGTCTTTTTTCCGAACACACATTTGAATTTGGCACTCTGGCGTTTTCTCAAAAATTGGTGCGTATCCGCGTAGGACTTCATTCTCCACTTCATTAGGAAAAGATTTTAGTGAATTCAGTTTAATCGCTACCTTCCAACGGGTTAGTTATCCAAAAAAAAAAAAAGTGGTTTTTAATTAAAATTTTATTTTGCAATAGTCACGAGCTTATTTTTTTTCTAATTTATAATCAAATATTTGCTATTTGGGTGCATTTTTGAGCATTTTTTTTACACTAGTGGCACTACTAATAATTATTAATTATCAGTTTTTGATTATTGTTTCTCATTTGGCTCTTTCAATTAACAAATTTTTAATTTATCCCGTTTATTTCTAGGTGAACCAAAGTGTTCAACAACTTGTAAGTGAAGAATACGCGCGTCCAACCAAAGCCACTCAATCGCAGGGTGCTTTTTCACCACCAGCCAATCTAGATCATATGCTCGATAATCTTCAAGCAGACATGAGCCGTCAAGGAGTCAACACCAGCCAAAAAGGATGCTGCAACGCCTGCGAAAAACCCATTGTCGGTCAAGTAATCACTGCCCTGGGCAAAACCTGGCACCCTGAGCACTTTACTTGCGCTCACTGCACCCAAGAATTGGGCACCAGAAACTTTTTCGAAAGAGAAGGCAAGCCTTATTGTGAACCTGATTATCACAACTTGTTCAGTCCCAGATGTGCCTACTGTAACGGACCTATTTTGGATGTTAGTAGTGATTTTTGTGTTCCTCTATTAGAATATTAATAATTCTGATTTGTTTTTTACAGAAATGCGTTACAGCTTTAGAAAAAACGTGGCATATGGATCACTTTTTCTGCGCCCAATGCGGCAAGCAATTCGGCGAAGATGGTTTTCATGAACGCGAAGGAAAACCTTATTGCCGTGACGACTACTTTGACATGTTCGCTCCTAAATGCGGCGCTTGCAATCGTGCTATAATGGAAAATTACATTTCCGCACTCAACAGCCAGTGGCATCCCGATTGTTTTGTTTGCAGGGTGAGTATTTTATTGAAATTTATTGGTGATGGGTGATTTAGTCGAAAGCAATTCAGTATTTAGCTTCCAGCATATTTATCATTAATATAAAGTTTAAAAGTGTTTTCAAAAGCTCAAAACCTTTTCCAAAAATGCTGATGCCTGATTGATTCTTTGCTTGTGAAATTGAAAAATGTATTTGTGGAACAAATCATTATTATATTTGACTTATAAATAGGATTGTAAACAACCTGTCCAAGGGAAATCGTTCTATGCAGTAGAAGGAAAACCTGTATGTCCTAAATGTATTGGAGCCGACGAAGAAGAGGACGAATAAACGTCGAAATTTGTCCCCTTTTATGCCCTCCGTGAGTGCCCCTGTGCAATTTTTATATTAAACAAAAAAGCCTTTTTTTAGTAATTAAGAGAATACTTTATTTATTTTTATTTTGTAATTTATTATTGTTGTAAAATAAATGTTTTATTGAAAAAATTTGATTAATTAATGAATAAAGACGAAACGAGAAAATAAAAGGCAACAAACAAAGAAAAAGAATATACAAAATATCCATGCAGCTGCATCCTGCTAGACTTTGTTATACATGATGTTCTAAAAATGCGAAGGTTTTTAAAGAATTCAGACTCAAAAAATTTTGTATTCTTTTTTCTGTTGATGTATCAGATCACTATTAAATGAACACATTATAGAAATTATCCATTATTTTCACACCGAAATGTGTTATGGTGAAAATTGAAAATTGGCGTATCCGCCATCAGATAAACTTGCAAGCAATTGAGGCTATTGTCAAGGGGTTTTAAGAGAATAGCCCACTTTCACCTACTGGAATATGGCAAATTATGATATTTTGATGCAGATACATGAATGCAACTGAGAATGCAAAATTTTGCAAGATCAGAATATTAAATTAATTAATAAATAAAAATAGCAAATTTAAACAAAAAATGCAATAAAACGCCCTCGCATTGGCTCGAGCCGATATTCATGCACTTATTGCCAAATTGTTGTGAAATTTCCATTCAACCGACTGTTAGCATAGATGCCACGTTTTTTCTTATTACTTTGTACGGATTAAATTTAATGTTTGTAAAAATTACCACATCATCTTTATTGCTACAGATACAGATACAGATTTTAAGATATACATAGCCACAGTTACAGCAAATCAACTCAGTTAAAAACAATATGGATAGAATTTTGGACTACATACTGAATACTGAAGATGTGCTATAAACGAAGCTTTGGAGGATTTCTACCATACCACTTACGGGGGAATTGAACTATATGTACCTTCTAAAATTCTTAAGGGAAATGAAATAGGTATCAGGTACCCTACTTGGTTTGATTCCGACTTGCGGAAGTTATTAGCAAAGAAAAACAAAGCATTCAAAAAATCTAAGAATAACAGAAATCAGCAAAACTACGAACATTTTTCGTTTCTACGCAGAGACTGCAAGCTTCAGAATTATCTGCTGTCTGCCTCCAAAACTGAACATATTGTCGCGAAAATCTGGCGAAAGAGCCAGGGTATACAGAAATGGACAGCTGATTCAAGATTTTACGTTGATGTTTGGGAACAAGGTCGATCGCGGTTATTCCGGAATTTGCAAGAATAGATTAGGGATATATAAAGGCCGGTATAAGTTTGTAGTTTTTAAGTTTAAGTTTGGCGTTTGGCTGTTATACGATTAAGATAGTGAATATTGTTAAGAGTTAGGAGTCAAGTTGTTTCAGTTAATTAGTGAAGTAATTAGTGTCTGAGTGTATAGTAACGTGAAATAAATTATTGCTGTGTTAATTGGACTTTGATTTTGGAATAAACGGACCCAAAATTTCTATAATTCGAGGACAGTGAGGACTCCAAAGTGATATCCGATTGCAGAATAGTGCGCGGACACTAAATGTGGACACTATAGTGAACACTGGGACAGTTAGTTATTGTAAGCAGTGACAATCACCAAAAGAGACTTAACCGATTGTGTAAATTAACCCGGAAGTGACTGTAATAGTTTGGTAATAGTGAATTTTCAAGTGAGTTTTAGAAAATTCTATATGGAAACCAAGGGAGATATCGAATTTCTGACTTCGCCGACGTATTCGATACATCAATCGTCATTCAGAAGACGAATTTCGAGAAATTTCGGGAAAATTCTAGAACATTCTATTTGGAAACCAATATTGAATTTGTGACTTCACTGACGTATTTGCAATATCAATCGACATTCAGAAAAAACATTTCAATGAAATTCTAGAACATTCTATTCGAGAATAAAGCAAGTTATCCAATTTGTGACTTCACCGATTTGTTTGGAACTTCAATCAAAGACCAGGGAAGATATATTGAATAGAGTTTGAGGGAAATTCCAGAACATCCTGTGTATGCTTATTACGAGACAACAAGCAAAAATAAAAGAACAAAAAGTTGAAGAACTTCTGCGCAAAATGTTGAAACTTCAAGAGGCCAGACGACAAAAAGAAAAAAAAAGAAGAAGATAGGCGACAATAAGAAGAGGCTAGGCGACAACAAGAACGGCAAGAAAACCTTGGAAAACTGCAGAACATATTTCAAACTATACAAAGAACTGTCGCTAATCTAGAACAGATGAAGATTGAAGAAGCCAAAGACGATGTGCAAGAAGTTTAAAACGACATTCAGGAAGTGAAAGCTGAGGTCAAAGCCGATGTTCAGCAATTAAGACAAGATCTTGAGGACCAAGCTCAAGCACTTGAAGATACGGTGAATAAATTATAAATACACTCCATTAATCCAGTTTTGCAGCATTCTCTAGGTATGAAGATAAAACCACTATTTTTTTGACGGTTCTACGTCCTAGACCATGTAGTATATCCGACAATTTGAAGCTGCTGCAAATACCAACGGATGGGACGATCAAGAAAAAGCTACAGCACTGATAGTGGCACTACGAGGACCTGCCTTCAGATCTTGTTCAGTCCATTCCTTCAATCTACCAACAGAATTACCAGCATCTAAGTCAGACGTTAGAATTGCGCTCCGGAGACCATTACAGACATGAAGTATTTAGAACTCAAGTTAAATCAAGAATTCAAAAAAACCTGGCGAGAGTTAAAAAGAATTCGAATCGGAAGTTAAAAAGCTAGTGAGTTTGGCGTTTCCTGCAGCTGGGGAAGACATGCAGGCATGGATGGCAGTATCTACGTTTATTGATAGTCTCAGAGATTCCAGGAAAACCTGAGAATATCTAAGTTCAGAAAAAGAAGCGAAGCCCCTTGTCCGAGCACTGGAACTGGAAGCAATCTTTGGTGCCTCACGACCCAGAATTCGAGCAGTTTCCTATGAAGACCCAAAGGATAAACAATTGTCAAAAGAAAATGGTAGCTTCAAGAATGTTATGAGTAAGTTCATGGAGAAAATGGAGAAACTATTACTAGAAGGTAGACAAACGGGAAACGACTTCAGACTAACACCAACACCGAGAAACCGAGTAGAATGTTACCGGTGCCATAAGTTTGAACATATGCAATGGGATTGTAGAGTAAGAATGTCCTCGCCATCTAGGGATCGTTCCCAACGCTTTTCAAGATCTAGACACACCAGCACTAATAACAAACAGGAACCAACCAGTACGGAAGGGAGAATGCTGGTTAGTAATGACGAAGCCCCCAGGGTTGTTTACATAAAATCATTGGGCAGTGATTATAAAGGATTAAAATTCGAAGGACAAATTAGTGGAGAATTTAAAACCATTATTTTTGATACGAGTGCTGAAGTTTCTATAATTAGAAGAACATTAGTCAAGTCTCGGACAATCCCACCGCTCACTAGAAACTTGTCACTACGAACAACAGTCACGGGCGAATCGGCACCAGTTCAAGGAGAAGCTATGGTTGGACTTACTTTTGGATCTACTAGGCACAGAACATTAGTCGCCGATACACAAGATGATTTTATTTTGGGAATAGATTTGATCGGCCAACATGGTTTCTTTTTCGATCCTTCTATGAACATTCTTAAATTTGGTAATGGAAAATTTGTCCTAACTACACAAGAAGAATCTCAAGCCATTGAGATCCTGGCCACAAACCTGCTGAGGATTCCTGGAAGTACTGAAAAGATCATTTGCGGAAAATTGGAAACAAACCCTGGGTGGACTAACACATAAATTTATTGGAGATAAACCAGAAAAATTTCTTGTTGGAAAGACTCTAGTGAAAACAAATCGAGACATTATAAAATTGCCAATGTTTCTTCTGAAACAGTAAAACTAAAGGAAGGAAATATTATTGGAACTCTCGAACTAGTTAAGCAAATATCGAATTGTAACCTACCAGATAAGCGACATTTTGTGAAACGAAAATTGGATACAGACACCTTGATGCAGACTTTGGAGAAATCATGGAAACACCTTGATCCAGATAGACTTCAAGAAGCCACAGATTTCATCTTGAAAGAATGTCAGTAGCTAAACAACAGGAAGTGGAAAACCAAATTGATAAAATGCTTCATGAGGTCTGCGCCAGTAGTATCGGTTACAAAGAAATATGGAAGTCTTAGATTTTGTGTGGACTACCGTAAGCTTACTAAGGTCACTAAGAAGGACAGCTTCCCTCTTCCGAGTATAGACGATACATTAACAACTCTATCGGGTTTCAAATGGTTTTCCACCTTGAATCTTAAGAGTGGATACTGGCAAGTGGCAATACACAAAGATGACAAAAAGAAAACTTTTTCAAGTACCGGAAGCGGGTTATACCAGTTTAACGTAATGCCTTTCGGATTGTGTAATATTCCCGTTACGTTTGGGCGACTGATGCACCTAGTTTTGCGAAGCCTTACATGGAGAACTTGTCTGGTATATTTAGATGATGTCATAATCATGGAAAATTCGTTCCAAGAACATCTCAAAAACCTGAAAGAAGTTTTTGATCGCTTCCGGAATGCCATCTTAAAACTCAATCCAAATAGGTGTTTTCTATTTCAAAAGAAAGTCGAATTCTTAGGTCACGTGGTATCTGAAGATGG